GTTCAAGGCATTTAAGGAAGTCTGAGACAAATGATTAGATAACCACTAAAGTAACTAAGCACACACTTCTGTGACTGCACACTACTGGGAATTACAGAATTAGTCCGAGAAAGTCACTAAACACATAAAAACAAGTTAGGTTTATTCTAGGAATACAAGATTGGTTTAACATCCAAAAATCAATTAATGCAATAAACTGAATCAACAGGGGCACCTGGGTGGCTCAGTTGGTTAAGCGACTGCCTTCAGCTCAGGTCATGATCCTGGAGTCCCAGGATCGAGTCCCACATAGGGCTCCCTGCTCAGCGGGGCGTCTGCTTCTCCCTCTGACCCTCTCCCCTCTCATGCTCACCCTCTCTCTCTCAAATCAATCAATCAATCAATCAATCAGTCTTAAAAAAAATTAACCGAATCAACAGAATAATGAACAAAAATAATGTGATCATGTCAACAGATGGTGAAAAATCATTTGACAAACTCAAGATAAATACTTAACAAACTAGGTATAGACAGAAATTCCTCATCCTGGTAGGGGCATCTATGAAAATCCCACAGCTAACAACATACTTAATAGTAAAAGACTGAATGCTTTTCCCCTAAACTCAGGAACAAGACAACAATATCCATTCTCACCATTTCCATTCAGCATTGTCCTGGAGGTTCTAGCCAGGACAATTAGGCAAGAAAAGGAAATAAAGGCATCCAGACCAGTAAGGAAGAAGGAAAACTATCTCTGTTACAGATGACATGAACTTGTATACAGAAGTCCTAAAGAATCCATTAAAAACCTATTAGAACTGACAAACAAGTTCAGCAAGTTTGCAGACACAAGATCACTATACAAAGCTCAATAAACAATTTGAAAATGAAATTCAGAAAACAATTCCATTTACAACAGCATTGAAAAGAATAAAATATTTAGGAATAAATGTGACAAAAGAAGTGTAAAACGTATACACTGAAAATTAAAAAAATTATTCAAAGATATTTAAGAGGATCTAAATAAACAGAAAGACATTTGAGGGGCACCTGAGTGGTTCAGTAGGTTAAGTGGCTGCCTTCGGCTCAGGTCATGATCCCAGGGTCCTGGGGTCGAGCCCCACCGTCGGGCTCCCTGCTCAGCTGGGAGTCTGCTTCTCCCTTTCCCTCTGCCTGCCCTTCTGCCTACTTGTGCTCTCAATCTCTCTGTCAAATAAATAAAATCTTAAAAAAAGAAGACATTTGATTTTCGTGAATTGGAAGACTGAATGTTAATGATGGCAATACTTCTTGATCTACAGATTCAACACAACCCCTGTGAAAATCCCAGCTGGCTTCTTTGCAGAAAATGACAAGCTGATCCTAACATTCATACGGAAATGCAAGGGACCCAGAATAGCCAAAACAATCTTGAAAAAGAACCACGTTGGAGCACTCACACTTCCTGATTTCAAAACTTACTACAAAGCTATGGCAATCAAGACAGTGTGGTACCAGCATAAGGATAGACACACAGATCAATGGAATAGAATTGAGAGTTCAATTGCTTCTTGACAAAGATGCTAAGACAATTCAGTGGGAAAGAATAGTCTTTTCAACAAACGATGTGGGGATAACTATCTACATCCCAAAGACTGAACTTGGGACTGCCACTTCACACCATATACAAAAATTAACTCAAAATGGATCAAAGACTTAAATACAGCATCTAAAACCATAAAGCTCTTAGAAGAAAACAGAAGCATAAATCTTTGTGACCTTGGATTAGGCATTTTCCATAGGTATGACACCAAACACATAAGCAACAAGAGAAAAAAATAGATGAATGGACTTCATCAAAATTTTTTAAATTGCGTGCTTCAAAGGATACCATCAATAAGTGAAAACACAGGGCACCTGGGTGGCTCAGATAGTTAAGTGTCTGCCTTTGGCTCAGGTCATGATCCCAGGGTCCCAGGATTGAGTCCCGCATCAGGCTCCCTGCTCAGCGGGGAGCCTGCTTCTCCTTCTGCCTCTCTCTCTCTGTCTCTTATGAATAAATACAATCTTTAAAAAAAATAAAAAAAAATAAGTGAAAACACAACCCAAAGAATGGGAGAAAACATTTGCAAAGCATACACCTGATAAGGGGTTAGTATCCAGAATGTATAAAGAACATACATAACTCAACCATAAGAAAGATAAATAAATTAAAAAATGGGCAAAGAATCTGAATGAACATTTTTCTAAAAAGATAAACAAATTGCTGATAAGCACATGAAACAATGCTCAACATCATTAGCCACTGGGGAAATGTAAACCAAAACCACGAGGTATCACTTTACACCCACTAGGATGGCTCCAATTAAAGACATAATAAAAGTAAGAATATGGGAAAATTAGAATCCTAATTTTAGAATTAGAATTCTAAGGATAACAATCCTGATAATGTTAAAGTGGTGCAGTTGCTGTGAAAAACAATCTGGCAGTTCTTCAAAAAGTTAAACACAAGAGTTACCATATGATCCAGCAATTCCACTCCTAGGTATATATCTGAGAGAAATGAAAACAGATGTCTACTTAAAAATTTGTACAGCAATGCTCATAGCAGCATTATTCCTAATAACCCAAAGTGGAAGCAACCCAAATTGTCCATCAATGGACAAATATATATTAGTAAGTATTGGTAATGAACGTTTAATAATAATATATTAATACACTCAGGTAGAATATTATTTGGCGATAAAAAGGAATGAAGTACTGATACATGCTACACAACATGGATGAGCCTTGAAAACACTGTTAAAGTGAAAGAAGCCAGTCACAAAAGACCATATATCATATGACTAGATGTGTATGAAATGTCCAGAACAGGCAAATCTGTAGAGACAGAAAGAGCATTAGTCACAGATAGGTGGGGCCAAGGGTGTGGCGGAAGGAGGTTGAGGAAAAATTGGGAATGACTGCTAATGTGTGCAGGTTTTCTTTTTGGGTGACGAAAACATTCTAAAATTTACTGTGGTGATACACAACTTTGTGAATATACTCAAAAATTACCAAATTGTACAGTTTAAAAGGGTAAATTTTATGGTATATTAGTTACATCTTAATTTAAAAAAAAAAAAAGACACTTAAAAGTTACCATACGACCCAGCCAGCAATTGCACAATTAGGTGTATACCTAAAGGGAAATTACAACATTTGTCTACACAAAAACTTATACACAGATGCTCACAGAGCAATATTCAAAATAGCGAAATTGGATACCACTGATGAATGGACAAACATTCATACAAACATACAACTGATGAATGGACAAACATTCAAAACGTATATCCACACAATGGAATATGATTCAGCAGTCAAAGGGAATGAAGTATTGCTACACACTACAACACGGATGATCCTTGAAAATCTTATGCTGAGTGAAACAAACCAGTCACAAAAGACCACATATTGTACGATTATACTTATATAAAATACAGGTCATGGTTGCCTAGGGCTAGAGAAGTGGCTAGGAATGTGGAGTGACTGCTAAATGATATGGGGGGTGAGTTTCTTTTTGAAGGTGATAAACATGATCTAAAATTAGATTGTGGTACTGGTTGCACAACTCTGTGAATATATCCACAGAAGTGTACAGTTTAAATGGGTGTACAGTTTAAACGGGTGAATTTTATGGTATGTGAATTATATCTCAATAAAGCTGTTAAAAAAAACTCAGAACTGTAAACCTAAAAAAAGAGGCACAAGAACCTTTAAAAATAGTATTAAGAAGGCTAAATCGCACAGTGCAAACACAGAACAAAAAGGGCACTTTCAAATACATTCAGAACAAAAAGCTGAATGAGCAAGAACTAGGTCTCTGCCCTGTGCTAGCAGTATAATAATGATATGTGACAGAGGTAAAATTCCTCAATTACTATTTTTGCTCCTGCATTCTCAGTTCCCAAGAGGGAAGCGCAGCCCAGTATGAGTAAAGAGGTAGTAAGTGAGAACTCGACTCCTTTAACAGGAGTTCAAGTATCTTGGAGCAGATGAATTATAGCCAAGGAAATGGAGAGTACTTTCAAATGAGAATGCTGAAGCTATGTCAGCGATCTTTGAGGGATCACAGAGAAAGATGTTCCAGAAGACTGGGCAGATGTAATTTCCATTTTCAAAAAAAAAAAAAAGAAAGAAATAGCAGTTAATTCCATAAATTACAGACCAGTAAGTTTGATGTAAGTCTTCTAGATTATTACGGGATGGATGATCACAGGGATGGCTTGCAAGAACCTAGAAATGGAAGAATAAGCACTAGAAGCCAGCTTGAAGTCACTAAGAAGAAATCAATTTAGGCTAATCCTTATTCCTTTTTTGTAATGTCATTAAACTGGTAGCTGAGAGAAATATGGCAGACTTCGTATATCTGAACTTTAGCGAGGCATTTAGCAAAATCTTTTACGAGATCCTTAAGCACAAAATTGAGAAATAGGGGCTGGTTGTTAACTTTTGTTAGATTAATAATCACTTGAAAGATCATTCCCAAAGCATGCAGATTACCAGGCCACTATCATGCTAGACTAAGGTCTCTAAGAGCAATCACCATGGGGTTCCTCTAGCGTTAGGAACTTAATCATTTATATCCAACAGCTTAAATGAAGATATGGAAACCATGCCGATGAGGTTTATAAGTGACAATATCTGAGAAGGATAGTGAATACTTGAGATGACAGAATCAGGAGACCGATTTTAATCGTAAGTAGTTGGGGATAAAACCAAACCAAACCAAACCAAACCAAACCAAACCAAACCAAACCAAAACTAAAACTTGCCTGGACCAGATGAAATCAAACCAAGGGCCAGATCCAAATCTCATACCTAAATTAGAAAATGAGTGCAAGGGAAAGAAACAGGTTTTCACTATTTCTGATATCAGCCTCGAACTTGAATTATAGCCACTGTTAGAATATGACCTGAAATGTTTCTGTCAAGATACCAACGACACAATAAGAGTACTGGAAGTTTTCGTTTACAACTGTGGCCTTAAGCTCTCTCACCCTCTTTCAGACGGTCCCCTTCAGCCTTGGTTTTCTTCTGTCTTTCTGATCCAGCAAGGTCTACAAGATGCAGCTTGGAGCGAAAGCTGCTATTCCTGTGATGACAAGAAGACACAAATGAGAATGGTGCATGAGCTTGAGGGTGGCTGAGTGTCAAAGCCGACCTGCTGGCTCTGGTTTTCTTTCAAGTCAGTCAAAATGGCTCCACTGGTTACCAGTGCTCAGGGTACTGATGGCCGATGATTCGTCAAACGCACTGAAGAAGCAACTTAATATTCAACTTTGTAGAACTACTGTTAACAATCTTGACTCTTTAAACTGTGAACTGCAACTTACTTGTCACTCTTCCTTCTTTGCTCTATGGAGATTGTAAAGATGGCATGAGATCGGGATGACTGGGAGTTCATAGCTGTAGAGGCCACAGTTCTACAGTTGTTGCCCTGCTCCAAACAGGAAACAGTGTCCAGAGCCACTACAACAGTCTTCTCAGTGAGTCCCACAATCTAATTCAGAGAAAGAAAAAAAAAATGCCCTTAGGATTCCGCTTTACATACTTCATCAGAGATAGAAGGACTGGTAGGTTAAAAAACAATGCTTTGAGGGGCACCTGGGTGGCTCAGTCGTTAAGTGTCTGCCTTTGGCTCAGGTCGTGATCCCGGGGTCCTGGGATCGAGCCCCGCATCGGGCTCCCTGCTCGGCGGGAAGTCTGCTTCTCCCTCTCCCACTCCCCCTGCTTGTGTTCCCTCTCTTGCTATATCTCTCTCTGTCAAATGAATAAATAAAAAAAAACTTTTTAAAATAATAATGCTTTGATGTTCCAATAGAACCTTAATAAATAGGACAGTTGTGGTGACAAGGACTGTTTTAACTAGCAACTCTATGATCACAGCAAACCAAGGTCCCTAATCTCCCCTAGGAACTTCCAAAACAAGGGTACCAGACAACACTAGAGCTAGAAGAGATCTCTAGATTTTAGGATAGAGCAACGGATAGGTGCCCTCTGGGGAGCTCCCAAGTGAAGGTAAGCTTTGGCCCTAAGAACAGCAAGGGCAACACAAATACTTACAGTATTTCTCTTTGCTACTTTCTCCATGTGACCCTGTGCCCTTCCCTATACCTCTGACCGGTTTTAGACTTCATTTTCACTAGGGGAAACAGCAGGAAAACAGGGTCCTACGCTTGGCACTGTATCTACCCAAGAGAATTTGTACACGTTAAAATCTCTTAGAGCCTCTGGAGACTGAACTAGATGATTATGAAGACCCTGCTAGCCCAAATATGCTATTGTTTTATTACTCCATAGCTCCCAGATTTACATCTGTGGCCCTAATTTCTAGTCCTTCATTTCTAATTGCCTGCCACTTATATTTGTAAACAGTGAATTATAAACCAAACTCATCTTCCTTCCACCAGCACCGATTCTCTCCACTTCTGTTGATATCTCTATGCGCAAAACCTCAGATTCACCTTCAATTCCTCTCCTCCCATTTCACCATACCTCATCTGTCACCAACTCCTAGCCATTTTTCTTTTGAATCCATTGCTTCCTTTTCCTTTCCACATCTACCTGCCTCGTCCAGGCCGATCTTACTTCATGCTTGAAGAAGAAGGCAAAGTTTCTCCAACTGGCCTTCCCCATCCTAGTCTGTCTCCTTTCCAAGCCACTTGTGTTTAGTCTTCCTAAAATCCTGCTTCCAAAAATGTCACCAAATTACTAAGTTCTGTGCTAGATAATGAGGATCCGAGGAAATTTTAAGACACTCTCCTAACCTCCAGGAGCTAACACAGTTGGAGAGAGATACGCATAAGATAAAAACTTGGTAAAAGCGGCCACAGCAGTCTCGCTTATATACTGTCCACAGGGATGGAACACATGAAGCTTTAGCCTGGCTTCATAATCTGGTCCTAACACATCCATTACTTCTCAACCAAGAGCCTCAAATCCAGACAGACTGGTCTAGTCTTACTAACCCAAGAAGTATATTTTCTGCTTTTCTGCCTAAGCTACTCCTTACACAAGAGTCCCTTTACTTCTTTTCTCTCTACTTATATTCCATCTACCCCACCTGAAGAGTGTTCACAAACTTGTCCTCACCCACCCCGATTTATCAAAACACATACTCCTTTGTACTGAAAATTGTACCTCAAATAATGCTTGGGATTTAATTCCTGCCTTGGCATGGGGCATATAAAAGATCTTGGAACTGGGTCCAGACCTGGCTCGGTACCAACATTCTTTCCGGTGACAGCATGCATTTTGCCCAGGTTTCTTATCCCCACTATCCAAATTGTCTTCCTGTATTCCAAGTTTATCAGGCTTTTTTTTTTTTTTAAGATTTTACTTATTTATTTGAGAGAGAGAGAGGGAGAGCAGGGAGGGAGAATGAGAGGGAGAAGCAGACTCCCCACTGAGCAGAGAGCCCAACTCGGGGCTCGATCCCAGGACCCTGGGATCATGACCTGAGCCGAAGGCAGATGCTTAACCGACTGAGCCACCCAGGCGCCCCTATCAGGCTTTCAAAATAGGTCTGATCCTTCAAGCCTTGATTTTAATACCTGGCTAATGACTTAATAACCCAGAAGGAAAAAAAAAAATCAGAAGCACGCCTGCTCTTCAAGCACCTGTACCCTAAACCTTCATCTTTCCATGCAGTGAAGAGAGGAAGGGGAAGAAGACGGGTAAGACACCATTGTACCAGGTTTTCCCATTTATATAACCTACTCTCAGCCACTTCCAGCCCTGGATTCTCTCCCTGAATACTCAAGCTGGAGCTAGACCCAAGCTCTGCCTGTTTTCAATACCGGCTTCTGAATTTGGTCCACTCCCATATATAAAAGTCCCAACCTTGCCTCAAATTTTCTGTTCAGCTATAGCTCCTCATCCTGCATCTAAACCATACGACAGAAGCCTCTCATATAAGTGATCTCTTCTTCCTGTGGTACTTATGAATTTTAAATTTTTTATATTATTTAATTTTTTCCTTTTTAAATATCATCCCAAAGCCTAGCATAAGGTCTGTTATAGTGCTGGCCCAACAGAATTTTCTGTGACCATGGTCTATATCTGTGCTGTCCTATAGTAGCCACAGCCACATGTAGCTATTGGGATATGTGGCTAGTGTGATGAAGGGACTAAATTTTAAATTTCATTATATCTTAGTTCACTTAAGTTTAGCCATTTGTGGCTAGTGGCTATTGTACTGAATAGCCCAGGCTTAGAACTCTGTAAATAATTAATAAATATTTAGTTGATATTAGCATTCCTTCCACAGGTAACAGGAAGATGATAAAACTTCCTTCCCCACAAGAGCTCCCATCTAGGAATACTCTAGATTAACAAAGGAAATTAGGATCACACAAAATCTGAAAGACTGAGATGTCAGTAGCCTTTTAAAACCACAGTGGCAAATAAAAGGGATGTGAACTTTAGCAGTGGCCAACATTTTTCAGTAACAACAAACGAGACAAACACACCTTTATGCCTTCTTTAGGATCCTCTCGTATGTTTATTTGAGAGGCTTTCTCACGAGATGGGCATAGAAGATCCAAAATTTCTTCGTTGTAAATCTGGTATTGTTAAAAATAAAGTGGTAAAAACAAGATGTTAATAGTGGTAATCTTGGGGTGGTGGGATCATAGGTGATTTTTAAAATTCTTTGTGACTTTCTGTATTAAAAAATATTTTACAACATATTATTTTTATAATTAAGAAAAGGCCTTTAATCTCACATGTAACCATTTGATACTTACAAGAATGAATTCACATATTCATTGTAACAAAATTGAGACTGCTCTCTTAGGACAGTTTCTTGGGAATTGCAGACACAGTGAAAAGTTACCTGAGTGCCCAAATTCAGTTCTTTGATGGTACCATAACAGCATCACCTTCCCTGATTTTGCTACAATGTTTAAGTAAGGGGTCCTTAGTGGAGGGTAGAAATGGGAAGCACATGGGAGAAGTGGCAACCAATATTTCAACCACCAGAACTTTAAGTATTTAGAACAGTGTTTAGCACATAGCAAGCACCATATTTGTTTGCTATTATTGCTGTTGCTGCAATTTAACATACCAGGTTCTTAAGTAATTTTTACATTTGATTACCTGACCACAACTGGGTTAATCAAGAGATTCAAGAAGGCTAAATCTTAATGATGTTTAACTCCCTGCCTTCCAACTCTACACCTCCAATACCTATTAATGTATTAAGATTCAACTCCAGGAAGGAGTATTCACATACAACATATAATTTCATGCTTACATTCTATAAGTTTAATCATTGCTTGTTAAAGATATCACTGCTATGGAACCAACTAGCTAGTTTCCCAAAACGCATAAATTTCCTGAACATGTGTTTGAGGTCACGAGGTTAGATATAACTGGTTAATCTAGTTGTATAGTGACATTCACTAGAATGAAAACCACAGAAGGGTAGGGATTTTTATGTTTTGTTCCCGGATATATCCCAAGTACCTAGAACAGGCCCTGTAACACAGCAGGTATTCAATAACATCTGCTGAATAAACACATTCTATTATCACACAGCTCAATACTTCACCCATTTTTTATAACATTCTTCCTGAAGTAGAAGCATTGTCACTCAGGCCTCAAAACAGTAAAGGAAAATCAAATATTTTTCTGCAGACGCTACAGGGAATCAGCAGCAGAGGCCAAATTGGAATTAAAGAACTCCTATCATCTTTTTATGCGGTGATGCCAACTCCTCCAACAATCAGATTAAAAAGACTATTCTGACAAGAAAAGAACTGGGCAGGAGCCAGCTCCAACTGAGCCAGTAAATTTTCTCTATCAATTTTATTAAAATGTAATTTACTAAAAATGCAATTTACTAATTTGAGTCGTGCCAGGAAAAAACTTAATTTGGATTTATTTTTTCTATCCAAAGATACATTTGAATTCAGTATAATTAAAGATAAATCATTTACCTCTAAGTATGACACTTTCAGAGTAAATTCGATGTCACTCTTTTTATCAATTTCTTTGAAGAGCAATTGTATTACCCTAGGAATGACCCCAACTGTTGGTTCATTCTCTTGCTCTGCGGTGTATGCACCTCCCATTGAATAGGTTTTTCCAGAGCCAGTCTGCCCATAGGCGAGGACGGTTGCATTGTATCCTGGCAAAATAGAAGTCACATGCATAGTGGTACTCAAATATTTTCATCCAATCAATATACACCATTTCCTTCAGCAATTACTTGCAACAAAATTGAGATTGCTCTCTTAAGACAGGGGTTTCTTAGGAATAGCAGACACAGAGAAAACTTATATGCATGCCAGGATTTTGCATTTCTCCAAACCAGCAAAGAAGAAAAATACCAGGCCCAGAATGTGTGCCCCTCTTCATTGCCCTTAAAAGCTAGGAAGTAAAACACTTAAAGACTGAGATAATGAAGGTGGCCGACTCACTGCCAGAAAGCCATTCAGAGCTTTATAATTCTACTCTTAGCAATTCTAAATTATGGGAATTAAATGAAAGTCTTAGAAGTTGCATAAATAGAAGGGATTCCAACATCTATGTTTTTGATGACCAGTCTTCACCTGAAAAAGCAACAAAGTTGATTTTTATGATCAGTGAAAGCATCCACTCCTTATCTAAACTCTCAGACTGCATCTGGACCATATTATCAGGCTCCTTGGCATTTTGTTTCTTTTGAAAAGAACTTGTTTATCTAAATGAAGACCTTCCTTGATATTCTGAAAGATCATAAGATGTTACAGCAAGATTTTCACTGTAATAAATAGCTAGTATCACCTGGCATGACCATGAGGCAAAAGAATAATATCCCATAATCTTCTACAATACCACAGATATGTGTACATAGTAATAACTGGGGAAACCAAGTTTCAGCACTTTCCCCAAAATATTCAGGGCTCTCTGGTACTGGGAATTCAGAGTACAAGAGGATGATGTTGAGGTGACTGAAAAATATTGGCTGTGTCTTTGCAACCGAGAGCAATGTTAACCAAACATATATATCGGAATCACTACCTACTTCATATGCCTCTAAAGACTATAATTCAATTCTCAGATTCCCAAGTTAGGTTAAAAGTATAGAACTATAGTGCTCTTACTGAGCTTTGAAGCAAAATTCTGAGGAAGATGACTAGATAACGAAGGGTCTGGAAACCATACTGTTTCCAGAATAGCTAAAGGAAACAGGGATGGTTAATTAGAAGAGACTTAGGCAGAATCACATAATTGTCTTCCAAATGTGTAAATAGGAAAAAGATTAACTTTATAGTGGAGAAGCCTGGCAGATAACACTGTAATCGAATAATCAAAATGAACATCAGCAGTAATGAAACAAATCATCATGTGCTGGTGATAGGATTCAATGGGAAGAATACAGCATCACTCTGTGATATTCCTGGTACAGATATACAACCTGAATCCAATCATAAGTAAACATCAGACAAACCAAAATTGATAAACAGTTTACACAACAACTGGTCTTTAAAAGTCAGGATCACAAAAAAAAAAAAACTGAAAAAACTTTAGAATGAAAGAGACTATAAAGAGACAGTACAACTAAATATAACAAGTGCTTTTGAACCAGATTCTTTTATTCTAAAGGATGTTATTGGGACAACTGGTGAAACCTGAACAAAGTCTGAGGGCTAGATGGTAGTAATGTAGCAATGTTAATTTCATGATTTTGATGCTTATATGCTTATACAGTAGTTATGTAGAAGGAAGTCCTTGAGTGTGGCAAATATACACTAAAGTATTCAGGAGGCATCAGGTCAACAATCCATCTCAAATGATTCAGGAAAAAAGTTTTTTATGCTGTTCTTGTAACATTTCTCTAAGTTTGACATTATTGCTTTAATATTTTAAAAATTTGAAACAAAGTGTTCAGTGTGTCCTGAGCCATAATATCATTTTAAAAAGTGGGAAAAATATGTGAATTTGCCTAGAGGGCTGAACTAAGATCACTGGGTAGAAATTATAGGGAAGCAAATTTCATCTCAATATAATCTAGCGCAATTGGAGTTGTCCAAATTCAATCAATGGGACCACCTTGTGAGTCAGTGAGTTCCCTATCAAAGGAAAAAAAATTTAAATAGACGCTGGAAGTTCGCTTAGAGATGTTGCTGGAAAGCATTTTTCTTTCGATGCAAAGTAAGACTATATAATGTACAAATGTGTCTTTTATCTTTGAGGGACTGGTGTGCCGTGGTTCAACTTCTTTTACATAGACCTCTGCTCTGAATCCTGAATAACCTCTGTACTAGAATAACAGTAATTAAACATCTCTCAGGCACTGCTCCCTTCTTTAGAACCCTGCTATACTGCTATGGTCTTCAACAACACTAAAGTCTTAGCTTCTTCAATAAAGATTGGTCAGAGTACTCAGGGGTTTTAGGAAATATCCTTCTTCACCAAAAAGAACTCTATTCATCAGCCAAGATCTCTCTCAAAGTTTCCCCATGCTGTGAAATTCACCCCTAATCCCCCAAGCAGAGTTAGTGCCATCCTTTTGGTTTTCATAACACTTGGAAAGCAGTGCTACTTCTATAGCAGGACTTATTCTATTGTGTATTTTTAACTTTTTAAAATATTTTTTCTTAAAGATAAGTGCAAAAAGGTTAAAATTTTTTATGTACTTAAAATTACGTATGTAGTCATCTACTACCACTCCAACTCCTGGACTTTGAACTCCTCCAGGGCATGGAAGCTATGTAACTTCTCTGAACCCTCAACAGGCTTCAGAGTACCTGGGCCTTAAGTAGGTTGGCAAACTGATCATCTTCAGCACCCATGAAAGAGCTTAGAACTGAATGAAGTTCCAGGACAAACCAACAAAAATATATGTACACGTCAAAGATGGGCAGAACCACAGAAAGCAAATACAGTATAAAACTAGCATCAAGGGTACAGATTTTCGCAAACGATATTGAGTTAGTTCCTAGGCTGTGGGTTCTTTGAAGGCAGGACTCATGTTTCATCTATTCCCCTATTTGCAGCACCCATGCACAGTGGCTGACACAAAATATATGCTCGAGAACCAGTAGAAGAATTAAATAGCCTTACCTTTAAATATGCCTTTTATGAGCGGTGCTACTGCTGTATTGAAGACTTCTTCCTGTTCCGTAGAGGGGTCAAACACAAAATCGTAGGTAAAGGATTTGTCAGTACCAAGCACCACCTAGAGAAGGCAAGGGACAAGGAGTAAGAAAACTTGAAAGGCGAGACCACGCCCCTCACTGCCATTTGGCCCCAGCTGTTCAGAGGCAGGCCCAGCACTCTCCTACGCACCTGAGGCTCCCCGGGTACGAAGGAAAGGCACATCTGGCAGCCCTCACTAATCTCTTTGGGGACCAGAGGGCGACATCGCAGTGCCACTCTTACAGGAATTCCCTTCACCTCTTCCTTCATGATCCTATCGCAGCACCGTCTCTGCGGGGTGGAAAAAAGAAGATACTTGCTGATGAATCTTGGTAGGTCGGGAGGGGTGGGAGTTCCGGCCCGCCTTGGAGGGTGGGATGGGTTACGGAACTCAGCAGTAGCGGTGGCAGCCTCCCCGTCCCAGCCGGATCGCTGCCTCCGGAGAGTCACTGCCCCTCAGACTTGGCCACGACCGTACAGCCCGTCAAGCCCCACGCTCCGAAGAGAGCGAAGTGGAGTCTGAAATGAAAAGGAAACCCCCAGCGGGGGTTTCTTGACGACAAAGAACCAAAGCCCCAGCGTCCCGGGAAAGGCAGATCCTGAGCTAGGGTGTGCTCCCTTAACTCACCGAACTAAACGTCCCTTCCCCGGTCTCCCGCCGCCCTGTCCCAACGAGAGCTTTAACCGCCAAGTTTCAAATCGGTCCCTTAGGCGCCAGCCAATCGGAGCGCAGACAGATTGCGGGCAGAGCACGCACGTCGGCGCGCGCAGGAAGACGCGTTGGGAAGGGGAGGACCTGCGCGCCGCACCCTGAACCCGCCCTTTCCGACCCACCCGAGCATCCGCTTCCGGCTTCCAGACTGAATTGGCGGTGAGCGGAGCCTGAGGTTCCTGAGGCCTGCGGGTGGGTGAGGCGGTATGGCACGTACCGCGGCTTGTGCGCGGGACTCCAGCAGAATGCGGGGCGGGGACCTGGAAGGTGGCTGGCGGTGAAGGAGGGGCCGTTCTGGGGACCCCCACCATTACTGATCTCATCTAGGGAATGTGGGGCGGTGCCTTGCCCCGAGTCCCTATGGATAGTTGGAGGCAGCCCCTCTCTTGGACTTCGGAAATTAGACGCTCCTGATTGCCTCTTCTCTGGAATGAAGACGGTAACATCTATTTTGCAGGATTGTTGTGAGAAAGGAGATTGTCTCTATGGAGTAACTTAACAGGTCGCTTGGCATCCAGGTGTTCAGCAAAGTTACTTGTTTTCGTCCATCTTTTTTTTTTCTTTCTCTCTCTCAGCCTCTGTCACCAGGAAGTGGGCTGAGCCCATAGACCGACAGCCTCAGGATGGAGTGGGGTTGTTTTTTTGAAACTTGCTGGACTGCTGACCCTTTTGAACCGTTTTTTATCAGCTTTGATTCACCCTTCCATTCCAGAGCCTTGCTGGAGATGGACAGCCGGATTCCTTATGATGACTACCCCGTGGTCTTCCTGCCTGCCTATGAGAATCCCCCGGCATGGATCCCACCTCATGAGGTGGGAATGCTTAAGTAGGGGATTTATCCCTGTGGGCATGAAATGGTACATGAAAGGTAGGATGGCAGGGTTAGAAAGCCCAGTGGAGGGTGAATTCTAGCCTTTGTTGTAGCCAGGGGACCCAGAAGTTGGATTCTGAACAACTGGGCCCTTTGGGAACTTCTAATGGAATCCTCCTGCCAGAGTCCATTCACATCAGAGAATTCTGGAAATTCAGAGCCCTAGTTTCTGTTCTCTCAAGGTAAAGAGGTGGGGAACTACTGGGCTGCTAACATTTCCCCATGCTATGCATCTACCCATTTGGACAGCGTTATCTGTTCTACTTAACACGAAGCCCATGACCATGCCTTTTCCTGACTTCGAGGTGATGCATTTGTAGTCCAGATGAAGGTGGGTATAAAATCTAAGGCTGGTAGTAAGATTTCTGGGGTTGCTGTGTCTTGCAGAGAGTATATCACCCAGACTACAACAATGAGTTGACCCAGTTTCTGCCCCGAATTGTCACACTGAAGAAACCCCCTGGAGCTCAGGTGAGCTTATGGAACAATTGTGTCTTTTTTTTTTAGATTTTATTTATTTATTTGAGGGAGAGAGAGAGAGAGCGCGCACACACACAAGTGGGAGGGGCAGAGGGAGAGGGAGAAGCTGATTCCCCAATGAGCAAGGAGCCCAACGCGGGGCTCCATCCCAGGACCCTGAGATCATGACCTGAGCCGAAGGCAGATGCTTAACTGACTGAGCCACTCAGGAGCTCCGGAACAATTGCATCTTATTCCAGGCTAGCTTTGTCTGTACCAGGCCCAGAAGTTGACAGTGGTTGGGGGGATGGATGGGAAAGCAGGTAGGGAGGTAAGGAAACTTTTTAATGGGCAGAAAATCTGAGATACCACTTCCACAACTTCTGACTTCTCTCTGAGGAACACATAAGCCAAGCTATCATACAGTGATGCTATTAGATGTTCTTGTGTGCGTGATCTATATTGAGCCCCCCTTCTGTGCTCTTGTCTTACAGTTGGGATTTAATATCCGAGGAGGAAAGGCCTCCCAGCTAGGCATCTTTATCTCCAAGGTATGTGTGCCTGGTAGGCAATATGGATTGCTAGTTCGCTTTGTTAAATTACCAGATTGCAGAACCCTGGTGTCCAAAGGCCTGGGAGAAGAATGACACAATAGACCTACAGAAGGGGCATCATGGAGACACCCTTTCCCATTTAAAACTTCTCACCTGGCAAACCATCTATTCCCCTACATTGTCACACACACACAGAAACGCTAGCACCTTATATTTGAATAGCACTTAATTTCACTTACAGCCTTTGAAATTCTCTCGCCTCAATCTCATATATTTTCTCCTTACCAACAGGTGATTCCCGACTCGGATGCACATCGGGCAGGACTTCAGGAAGGGGACCAAGTCCTAGCTGTGAATGATGTGGATTTCCAAGACATTGAGCACAGCAAGGTGAGCACAGCATCTGGGCTGTGGTGAGGCGAGAAGCCATCCCGGGTAGGAAAGGTTGGACAGGATTAGCCTGGTCTGTAACTTGGTAAGGAGGAGTTTCTGCTGAGGAAGTCCGTCAGGAGGAGGCACCTAGTAGTGACCCCGAAGGTTGGAGTAGCAAACTGTTTTTCTCCTGTCATGATACTGTCCTGGGTCGTATCTTCATTTGTACAAGCTGCTGTGTTCCTTCCAGGCTGTTGAGATCCTGAAGACAGCCCGCGAAATCAGCATGCGTGTCCGCTTCTTTCCCTACAGTGAGTGCCACTCTCTTTTTCATTTACCTGGCGGGGCCCTGGGTAGGAACTCTCTAAATACTGATTACTAAAGCCCCCCCACCTCCCAAGTTGGGGATGGGGAATTGGGAGCACAGGCCTGAAAATAACCTGTTCTTGTCTATCCTTTTCTTTTCTCCTTTCCCCAGATTATCATCGTCAAAAAGAGAGGACTGTACACTAGAGAGTTGCAGCCCATAGCCCTCCACAGGGAATCTTCTAGGACAAGCTGGTTAGGCCTCAGGGCAGCCTCTTGGGAACCTCAACTCTCAGCCCCACCCTGGCAGAGTGGCGTGGGGAGGATGGGGATACAGTGAGGCCCTGCCACCGAGCCAGCTAGCCAGCTGCATTACCCAAACTGTACTGTACTCCTTGTTCCCTCGTTCTGTAGGTGAGCTTCATTCATTCCCTGAAACGGGAAGGATGGAGATACCTAGGTATAGCCTGTGGAGAGCCCAGCTAGAAAAGGCAACTGACATTTATTGAATATCACATGCTAGACAACTACACACGTGTCACATGTTCATCAGAGTCTAGAAATCAATAGCAAAAAGGATCCTGGGGGCCTTCCATCTCATCCCTTCGTTGTACTACCAGTCTCAAATTGCTCCGGAGACTCCCTGGGACTGCCCCCCCGACTCCCTCCTATCCTCTCTCCCCCAAAATAGTAAAAGGCAATGCTGAGGAAATGTCGGTGTGACTTTTGGATGATATTGACTGGGTTTTAAATGCTATTGAGGCAAAAATAAAAGCTCTTTCAAAGAGAGGTGCCAGTGGAAGTACCAGCAACTCTCTACCTCCCTTACAACTATATCTGGCCAGTCCGTCAGGGAGGCCCAGGAACCTTATCTTCAGTGCAACTGAGGAATAGTATAGGTTGAGGGGGGGATACTAGAAGAAACCGTGCCCCTTCGCTCATAAGCTTTGGACATTTCTCTGCAGGGAGGTGGTATTAATATAATTGTCTTCTTCCCCAGAATCTTTGTTCTGGAACACAAATGAAGGGAGAGGCTTGGATGCATTCCTTTCAGCGACAGCAGTAAGAAATTGGTTCCCAATTTCCAGCTTGTAGGCTGAGTGGTACTGTTAACTTTCCCCCTTTTCTCCACCCCAGCTCCCAGATGACCTGCCACCGTCTTTGTTACCAGTCCACTGTTAGCCATTCCAGGCCACACCTTATGCCATTTCCATTGGCATCTCTAAAATACCCGTTCAGAACAGAATGGTTTCTAATGACGTATGGGGTGAAGTGCCCCCATGATGAAAGTCCCCAATTTGCCTTGAAAGAATCCTGGGAAGCTTAAATAATGTATTTCCAAGGCCCTGCCCCTGGAGAGTAATTCTGTTGTTCTGGGGTTTAACCTGGAAATCTTGAGTTTAAAAAAAAAAAAATCTTCAAATGTGGGAAACAGTTCTAAATAGTATATCGCTATGAGGAAGTTCTGGCTGTCTCTATAAATCCCACCTCAGCTTTACTATGCCGTGTTTTCCGGTAGCTACATCCTTGTGAGTAGAGGCAGAGGTAGTCTCTGCTTCCTGGGAAATCCTGCTCCCATTCTATGCTCCTGTTTGCTGTGCTGCCCCCCAGTGGCCATCTGGAAAAACTGGAGGCTGAGATACTTGCCCAAAGGCATATTGGCTGAGTCTGCTGAATGTTGAGGTCCAAGACTCTGCCTGCGGTTAACGGGTTTTAAAACAGCTCATCTAAGAAGTGTGGTAAACGTAAAAAGTCCCAGCTAGGTGCCATGGGCCTACGAAGCCAAAAACCTCCTACCCTAAATTGGTTCTCACTTTGCGGTACCTGGAATGGGTCTTTGTTGGAACACCAGCATGATGCAATTGCATTGTAAAGGTCCAGGCATAGCACGGAGAAGACAAGCAATAACAGGATGAGGCAAAAGGACCAGTCATTTATTGAGGGTGTAGATGAGAAAACACGGGGAATGAACTGTATCTGCCTTTGAGGTATCCCAGCTGCTGTAGGACTGCATCCCCTATAGATGGCTTTTAGCAGTCAGAAGGTGAGGTGGGATTCCTGGGCCCTGCAAGAACTTTCCACCCCACAGCTGCGAGACGCAGTCAAGAAAGAACGATAGCATTTTCAGGGGTTCTGTTAAAATTTTTTTTTTTTTTATTTTAAGTATGCTCCACACCCATCACGGGGCTGGAACTCAACGACCCTGACATTAAGAACCGCATGCTCCACTGACTGAGCCAGTCAGATGGCCCTCGGGGAGTCTATTTTACTCCTAAGTTCAGGAATCATATGAAACCTTAGTAAGTAGCCAAGTATTTATTTTTAAAGATTTTTTATTTATTTGAGAGTGAGAGAGAACACAAGCAGGGAGGAGGGGCAGGGGGCAAGGGAGAAGCAGACCCCTCCCCCATGCTGGGCAGGGAGCCTGATGCAGGGCTCGATCCCAGGACCCCAGAACCATGACCTGAGCCGAAGGCAGACACTTAAACAACTGAGCCACCCAGGCGCACCAGTAGCCAAGTATTTAAACCTTAAATCTGAGGGTGGAGGAGATGGATTACTGGGAAGCCCAAATGCAATAAAATCATCAAATTAGAGACCAGGTTATCAACAGGAACAATGGCTTTTGATGCCTGACTCCGTGGAAGGCTTCAGTTGGATTTCAACCACTGAAGTGTGTGTTAAGGTAAGAGGGATGTAGCTGGGGTTAAAATCTCAACTACCAGGGGGGTAGCTTCTAGGAAACAGAAGAATTCTGATCTTATTTCTTTTGCCTGAAGGCAGGCCAGGGAGCTACTGTTGGCTGAGGTTAGCCCCTTTTCCCTTAAATATCAGTCAGGCCTGGCCTTCAACTCAGCAAAGGAAGTCTGCCTTCTCTGCATTACACTCCCTAGCCCAGCAAAGCTGGGAGAGAGGATACTCCTCTTCATTGGAAATGAATTCTGGATGGAAGGGCAGAAGCCATGTGCCGGAATAGCTCTGTGTGTGTGTGTGCGCGCGCGTGTGTGCGCGCGCGCATGTGTGTGCTTATGCACATCCGCACGCACAAAAGGCCAGATTCAGAGACGATTCCAGGTCTTTGTACTGCATGATGGGGAAGTGAACCTTGTACCCACCCCAAGATAGGACAAGGCAAAATTATCCAAAAGAGTAAGCAGTGGGGGGTAGCTAGAAACAAGAGTTCAACGAAGTATCATAAAGAGAAATGAATATTACATATTTCACATTATAACCGGTTTGGTCACTGGTTTCAAACATCACGTTGAGGGTTCTGGATTTTTCCTTCCCTGTTATCTGCAGAGACTTGTCTGGACAAATGAGAAATGATACAAGGGACCAGATAGTGGTAAGTGGTAACTCAAAGTGAATAGGGACAGATCCTTCTGAGGTGTAATGATGCCTCCCCAGGACACGAACTGTAGAAGCCTTGAACCCATCACCTTACTGTTCCCTGAAACTGGTAAACTCCTCCCATGTAAACACAGCACAGTAGACCCTCCCCATAGGGATTGAGCTCTAGGTGTGCCAGAAGTTGTAGTTATACCTTACCTTTTGTTGTTCAGATCAGTGTTGTTACCCACTAACACGATGATGATATCAACGTCTTTCTGCTCCTACATCTACCTACTTATGTGTCTCCTTGGAAGCATTGATGTCTACAAGAGAATGTGTTGTGGAGAGTTGAAACATTTAGTAGAGGTTTAGAGACAATAACATACCTGTCCTTCCTCTCTGCTAGTCTTACCAACCTCCCTATTGTTTCCCTCAATCCCTTTTTCGAGTAAAACATGGCATAACACCCACTTGTGATGTCCTAGACCAGCCACTACAATAGTTGAATCATGTGTGTAGCTAGAAATTTAGGCTGCAAGAGCACTCTTGGCCAGCTGTGTCCCATAGCTGCCACTGAACCTGCACAAGAAAATGTTTAGAGGGACGCCTGGGTGGCTCAGTCGGTAAGCGTCTGCCTTCAGCTCAGGTCATGATCCCAGGGTCCTGGGATGGAGCCCTGCATCGGGCTTCCCGCTCAGCGGGGAAACCTGCTTCTCCCTCTGCCTGTCACTCCCCCTGCTTGTGCTCTCTCTCTCTGACAAACAAATCTTTTAAAAAAATGTTCAGAAGGGAAAGAAACGTACCTTTTAAAGGTTAGAACTTAAAAGGCAAACCATGAAGTATCAAGGAAACCGTGTTTCTGAAAAGTGGCTGCTACGGCCACAAAGCAAGTGGCCTACCATCCTAGGACAGATCCAATCTCTGTTTTGATTAAGAAAGACCCTGTAGAGCAGCCGACTTAAGGATTCAAAGCCTTTTGGACTTTGTGTTACAGGTGGAGATAAGACGAAGGCAGAGAAAACAAAGCAGGGTTTGGCCATTTGGGGGAGGCTCCATGTTTTTCTTCCCCTGCTTTATCCACAGATAATCCAAGATGGTGCAGCCTTACCATTAATGAATAGGCCTAAGGGGCTGAGGTATAGGGTTAGTGATATGAGAGTAAACACTCAGTATTTGGTCCTCCCAAGCACATGATCTTAGGAAGTCGATTCCCATGATCGCCTGCAACCCAGAGTCAGATACTCTGCACCCCTCCTCTACTTCCAATACCAAGCAGTCTTAGACCCAGAAGTGGAGAATGGCCCTTGAGCAGGTTGTCCTGGCTCAACTTCTCAATGCTTAGAATAGATCATCTTGAGAAGAATCCCTAGGGGAGTTGGCAGAGGAGGGGGCAAAATGTACTGTGTGATGCCTTGGTGGTGGGCTCACCTGGCGGGTGCAGTTGAAGGTGTCGTACAGGAAGCCCTTGAGGAGGGGTATCTTCCCCACTGTGAGGTGGGTAAGTAGGCCACCCGTCACCCTGAGCGAGGAGGAGGAAATTGTTCCCCCTGCCCCCAAAACTCTCCCCACACTCCATACCAACACGCCTCCTCATCTCCAAAGCCCAACCCAGATACCCCCCCTTGCTCTGCTGCTCCCCCAGGCACATGAGTTTGGATTTGTGCAGAGACCATCTTAATGGTTTCCAGGAGAAGCCTCTGGCCTTGCCGTGGGCCCTGCGTACGAGGGTATACATCGCGGCAGGTGGGTGGTGTGCTCTTTGTCCATCTGCTCATCACTTTGCTCTCTGCCCCAGGCCTGGGTGCATGGCCACGCCCCCCCCAGGCCCTGCCTGGAGCGGTGGGTGATCACGGCAGTAGGGTGGTGGGGGTGCTGCGGTGGTAGGGTGGGGGCAGGGATAGCCAGGGCCCAGAGGGAAAGTTGAAGGACCCACAGAGGGCAGGTGGCCTTGCCAGAGGGAAGTCGGGGCTTGCTTAGGCTCTTAGCATGTAGCACATGCTGCAGAGTTGTCACTGACAGGGGCAGAGGGTGCTGTTCTCTGTAGTGCCATCACCCTCCCGGAGAAGGAAATACCAAAGAGATTGTCAGGCACATCGTGGACAAGCTGATTTATTAGAGCGTTACAGTGGGGCTCCCACCCAGAAGCACTAGAGCGAGGTGCTCAGCTTCCCTCATACCCCTCTGCCACAGCCTCCTGGCTCTCCTCCCCGCGGTGCTCCTGCCGAGTAAACTCCTCAATGACTATGTCCTCAGAGCTTGCAAAGCAGCAGAGGGGAATGCAGGGTTAGGAACAACATTCTGGGCATCGTCCCTGTTCACTCCCTTCCTGTGATCCCAGAAAAGTGACCCCTTCTCTGCTTCCCAACTCAGATCTAAAGCCCCCTCTGGGCAGCTACCCCCCTCAACCCGATCAATCGACCACTCTGGCTTGTTCCCCTTCGCTCCCTCCCGGGTCTCCCAAAACAAAAGTCCCCACGCACCCACCCAGAGTGCTGGAAGGGAAATAAGAATGGAGGGTGGGGAAGAGGGAGGGGATCTAAGAATGAAAGACCAGAAGGGGGGGGTGAAGGAAAAAGAAAGATGGAAGGGATGAGGGGGAAGGAGGATTCTGAGACGAGCAGGGGTGGAGGGTGTATGAAAAGCACTGAACTATGACACGAAGCTAAACCATATGTCTCCACTGCACAGTATTGAGAGCAACACTCCAGGGAAGCATTTTTAACATTTCCATCGTCACAAAATGGAGGGTGGCAGTGGGGAAAGGGGGATGGGGCTTCCAGGCCTCGCATTTCCTTACCTAGCAGCCTCTGGAGCAAGCATGGAGAGGGAGGGAAGAATGGAGGTGAAGCTTCAGTTCCACGAAGAAATGTCTCATTTCTCTTCCCCCTCCCTCTTTTACCCTCTCCTCCCTCCCTTCCCCCAACTTACACACACACACACACACCCTGAAAACCTAGGAACGCAACCTGCCTATTCCTATACATTCTCTACCCAAATAGCCAGTCCTTGATTCCTGAGATCAGAACTGCTTGGTCCCCAACACTCAGGCCCACCATTCCTGTCAGTGCCACCTGGCCACTCACCATGTGATGGCTTTGGATGCATCAGGATCAGGGGCAGCTCCACACCAACATCACTGCAAGGATCCCAAGGGAGAGTCACACATCTCCCACCGAGGCCACTCCCTGAACCTCTCCCCCTCGGTTTTCTGGTCCCTGGGATGTCCTCAGACTCTCCTTTGGAGCTCTTTCAGTCTCCTTATCTCCTCGTCCTCCCCTTCTTGCTCCGTCCCCTGCCCCCACAGCTTCCCCATAGCATCTCTTACCTGGCTATCAGGTCACCTAGGATGCTGAGGGCAGAATGACACCGTAAAATTAGCAGCTGGAAATGGAAAGTGGCAACCTAGTTTTCCTGGGGGATAAGGGATCATAATAAGGCCAACTCAGCCACAGAATAGGTTTCTGGAAGGGAAGGTGGCTTGCTCGCTGATCTCACAGGTTTGGGAAACTGGTCTGGGAGAACGGGGTGGGGAACAGCTTGGTTGGGTCAGGCCAGCCGAGGAAGAAAACAGAAGTGGCTCCCCGGCCCCTGCCCAGACAGACCATGAACCCTCACTCACCCTCCACCAGACACCATCAGGTTGACTCTCACTTTGTAGGACACCAGGATCCCGAGGAGCTCCTTGTTCGTTCCAGGTTGAAGACTGGAGGTGGTAGTATTCGTTGTTGTGTGTTTGTTGGGGGGAGGGGAGTAATGCATTCAGTCCCTCAGTCCCTTCCTGTGCACCTTTTCTAACAGGCCTTCCATGCTCATCTCTCCTACTCATCGAAATCACATTTCTGTTCCCAAAGTCCGGTTTTACCATGTCACCCACCGCTCAAGAGCCTCTCTCTCTGAATATAACTACTCGGTGCGGCTTTCACGACCCTTGACAAACTGGCTCCACCCAGCCTCTCTAACCTCCTCTGCCTTACCTCCCTAACACCTGGGATACAACCTAAGCAGACCCATCCTCTCTCCATGCTCGGAACACGCCTTGCAGATTCCCACCTTCTGGCCTTTGCCCATGCTGTGCTCCCAGTCTGGAATGCTCTTTCCTTCCTCTGTTGCTATCCAGATCCTACTCGTGCCCCAAGATCTAGCTCTCTCCTCCAGAAACCCCACTCCAGCTACACTGGCTTCTTTTCACTTATATTGAATTTCTAATCTGAACCACATGTATAAACATTTAACCTTTAGACTGCATTTGCATTCCTCTTTGTTCCCCACCTAGGCCATAAATTGACTGAAGGCAGAGACTGTCTAAAACTTCTTTGTATCCTCCCACGTTGCTTAGCGTAGGAATGAGCATGTAACAGGTGCTCCATGAAAACGCACTGATTGGAAAATAAGACACAGAAAACTATGATACTGGGAAAGTCTCTTCATGACCCTGGAATACTGATCCTTTATAAAATAATGCTGTTCGGATGATTTCTAAGGGTCTTTCTAGCAATAACAATCTCTAGCCACAAGATTGATAAGGCACGGAGAAGGGCAGGGGACAGTGCTCATCGGGTGGCGGCAGATGGCTTTTGGTGGGAGACACATCTAGCACTAGGGCCCCCAAAGACATAGGGCCAAATGAATGATTGGATAGAATTCTGTCAATTCCTATTATATCGTTCTCCTTTTTTTGGTCCTCCTCCTCCTCCTTCATTTCTCATCTCCTAGTCTTTTCACTCCATTGCTGTCTTTGCTAGAGAGTAGCTACTCTGGAGATCACAGTGTCAGAGCCAGACGGCATGTGGTAGAATCCTTTCCACCTCTGCCACTTTCTAGCGATGCGGGCTTGGACCAGTGCCTTCATCTCTCTGGGTCCTTAAATGTAAAATGGAATAAGAACACATATCCAGCCTACTTTAATGTGATTCTTATAAAGAGTATGTATAGATATACATAGATATATGTATATATGTATAGATATATATGACCTTTGTGAGCTGCGAAATATTATACAACACAGGGAATTTTCCTCACTGCTTTTTCCTTTCTTGCTGCCTGTGACCTAAACCTGGGCATTGGTCCCATGGGCATTATTTAGCTTCCTGTTGGCCCTCAGGCCTGCAGGGGTCTCTGAACACTGGCCTAGGGACATTTAAAAAAAAAAATAGGCTTCCTTAACAGTGAAAGCTCAGAACTGTATACATAGCATGGAGAATGGGTAAGGGGATAGAAAATGGAGGTCGGGCATCACGTTTGAGCTTACATTGTGCTAGAGGCCAGATTGGTATCACCATGCTTGAGTTTGCCATCCAGCGCCAGGCCCTGTTTCTGGCAGTTGGCAGCCAGGAGCGGGGTTACTGCGAAGCTCTTAGAGGAGCTGGAGTTAGCAGCTATAGTCTCCCTTTAAAAGGAGAAAAGAACTTAGGCAAGGCTTGCCACTTAAGTGTACTTTCATTCTCAAGACTATCTTGCACAATTCCACAAACCTACTGGAGTATCCAAGAAAGTGGGCATGTCCGACTGTGGAGAGTGGGAGCAATTCTCTCCGGTGGGAAATCCTTATGCCCCTGACCTCTCTCAGCATTTTGATGGTCCTCTTGTGGGTATCCACCCTCTGGTTCTCCTGGGAATCCCTCCCCTTCTCTACATCAGCCCTCACCTTGACCTTCCTCAGTCCTGGGTTCTTAGCCTCTTCCTTCTTTCCCCAACCCCCTCCTTTGCCTCCAGTCCCCGACCCTTTTCCCACCAACCCACCCCTTGGCTCTCTGACCCCGGCCCTGGTGCCAACTCACGTGAACTCCTGAATGAACACGGTCTTGGTGTACTTGTCTAAGGAATACAGGACAACATCTGTGATCTGGTCAACTGAACAGCCAGGAAAAGCACATGACTATAATCAATCAGTCATCCTCAAGACCCCAACTCACTGCCCTCAGATGTGACCTGATACATGGGCACACTATGCATGGTGCACTAAGATGTGCTTGTGGGCAAACAAAGATAGGCCCTTAGATAAGCCTGCATTAGAGAGAAGGTCTAGATGACAGCAGACTGGGTAAGTGGGGCAGAGTTTTAGAAAAAGACCCGTGGATTAGGGACCAGGTGCAGGGGGACTAGGAAAAGAAGCTCACTTGAAATCTTGATTTTTTTGATGACCTTGTTGGTGCAGTTGTTGATAGAAACATTGACAGAGATGGGTTTGCCGTGGTAGTGAACCTGAAGCAGGGGGAGAGGCTCATCACAAGGTTGGAGGGAGAACCCCCAGATCAAGACCTAGAATTCTTGTTTCCTTAGCACTGTTGCCGCCCTGGCTTCCGTCTCTGTCTACCCAAGTAGGAAATCAGTGAAGGATCGGGGTTGCGTAGAGGTTTCAGGGTAAGGGGTCAGGAAGTGGGGGTCACAAACCTCCCTGTCCATCCAGGCCTGCAGCTGTAGGGGCTGAGCTGACAGAAGGAAGCGGCGGGTAGTCTGGGCACAGGGGCCAGGGCCTGGCTCCGAGGGTGCAAACTGTATTTTCCGAACCACCAGCCGCACGGAGTCTCTGAGTAGAGGCCAAGAGGTTAGCCAGAACAATTCCTTGGGGACTCACAGACCTTTGCCATGCCAACCCCATGGCCCGGTTGTTGCTTGGGGTGGGGGTGGGTGGAGGTGGGGTAAAGCCTCCCCCCAGAGAATTCCTCTAGACCCTCAATGGAGGTGTCCAGACCATGGGTCGGCGCACGATGGCTCACTGGCCAAATCTGGCCTGCTGCCTGTTTTTGGATGGCCCACAAGCTGAGGACGGTTAGTGCATTTTTAAATGGTTGAAAAAAAGTCAAAAGTACGATAATATTTCATGACATGTGGAAATTATATAAAATTCAAATTTTAGTGTCTATAAATAAAGTTGTATTGGAAGACAGCCCAGCTCATTCATTTACATACTGTCTGTGGCTGCTTTCACACTACAATGGCAGAGTTGAGTAGTTGCAACCGAAACTACAGGGCTGGCAAAGCTGAAATATTTATTTTTTGGCCCTTTCCGGAGAAGTTGGCTGACTGCCCTGGAGCAAGGAGGAGAAGCCAGAGGGGAATCAGAGCTGGACCTCTGAGTTGGTGGCGACGGTACTGTGGAAGTTACAAGTAGGGCTCTTTCTCTCCTGAGATCAAGATCTGTTTCCTAGCACAGGCTGGAGGCAGGGATTTCGGAGAGGCCCAAAGACTACCTCTTGGAGATTTTCTCCTCCAGATTTTCAGCACAGAAACTCTTCACTTCAAAATCAATCCCACAGGCCTGCAAGGGGGCAGGGGCAAAGAGAACTCATTTCCAACTAGCCTCTCCTCTTGGGTCTCTAAGGAAATGCTTGACCCCATCCTCTGGCTATCCGTTTCTCCAGTCTTGTCCCTTTGTCCCCCTGTCCCTCTTCCTGGCACTATTTCTCCCTCTTTCTCGGAACCCGGACCTCACCTTCCCTACATCTTCAGGCCCTGGCTGCAGTGTCACCGAACAGGGGAGGTTAACAGCCATCTGGGGGATCAGAAAGAGGTCAGCAAACAAGAGAAATAGGGCCCCCCTTCCTTTGTTTTCCCTCTTTAGCTTCGCCTCTTAATCTCCCCTGGGAACCTTGCCCAGGACTGGGGGGAGGGGTCAGTACCTGCAGGGTAAAGGGGTAGGCATTGTCCCCCAGCTTTTGCAGCAGTCGCTCCTGTAGGACTGTGAGGGACCCTTGGGGGCTGGTGGACTCAGGTGGGAACACTTGCTGCACCTGTACGTACAGATCTTTGCGGAACGTCAGACCGATCACATCCAAGTCATCATGGCCATAGCGGAAGGCACATGTCAATGTGACAAACACTGCAGGCAAAGGAGGAAGAGAGTGACCTGTCATGCCCAAGGGAGAAAAGAAGTTCTTAAATGGCTCAGAGGAAGACACGGAGACACAAGGGAATATGATTGAAACCATATGGCCATGAAGAAAAGGATTAATACATTAGACTACAGTAAAATTTAAATCTTCCTTACATTAGGAGTCTTTAAAAAACAACGAAACAAGCAAAAGCCTGGGAGAAAGTATTTGCAACATGCATAGCAAACAAAAGTTTAGCCTTCCTAACCTGAAACTAATGAATGTTCTGTGTCAACTATACTTCAATAAAAATGCTTCACATTTGTGATATATAAAGAACTCCCGCAAATCAACAATTTAAAAATCCCGATATAAAAGTGTGCAAAGAGTATGGAGAGGCTCTTCGCAGAAGCACAAAATAGAAAGGCCAATGAGATACGAAAACATGTTGGGGCGCCTGGGTGCTGCAGTCGGTTAAGCGTCTGACTCCTGGTTTTGGCTCAGGCCATGATCTCAGGGTTGTGGGATCAAGCCCCACGTTGGGCTCTGCACTCAGTGCGGAGTCTGCTCGAGATTCTCTTTCCCTCTCCCTCTGTCTCTCCCCACTGCACGCTCTCTCTAAAATAAATAAATAATAAATCTTAAAAAAAAAGATATGAAAACATGTCCAGTCTCATTAGTAATCAGATAAATGCAGATTAAAACCATAATGAAATAACATTTCACACACATCAGATTATCAAAAAATTTAAAAGTCTGACAGTACTAAGGGTTGGAGAAGGAGTGGAGCAATAGGAGTTCACTGCACACAGCTGGTGGGAGTATACATTAGGACAACCACTTTGGAGAAACTCCAGATTGAGTAAAACTCAATCTGCTTATGTATTATGATCTAAGAAGAATTTAGAGGAACTCTTGCTCATGTTTATTGAGGAGATACATATGAGAATGGCCATTGCATCAATATTACATTTGTCATAGCATAAAATTAGAAATCATTTCAATATCAGTGAAAGAATGGGTAATAATAATAAGTTACAGTATATTCATATAATAGAATGCTGAGCTGAGGTTAAATGAATTAGAGCGCCATGTATTAACATGGTTAAGTCTCAAAAAAACTATTGAGTCAAAAGAAAGCTAGCTTCAGAATGATACACACAATCCATTACTGTGTATATAAAGTTTAAAAACAATGCCAGAGCTGCTTACAGATACATAAATATGGAGTAGAAGTATAGAAACACCATAGGAATAATAAACACCAAATGCGGGATAGTGGTTCCCTGGGGTGGAGGCCAGGAGGGAAGGAGGGAAGGAGAAGAGGGAATGGGATTAGGGAAGGACACATGGGAGACCAGTTTGTTTCTGCAGTTCTTTTTAAAGCTAGGTGGTGGGTACAAGGTATTTATTACATGATTCTCTAGGGTCAGACTACCCGGGCTTGAATATGACTTGTATGAATCCCTCAAGTTCTCTGAGCCTCAGTTAATTTGCCTGTCAATAATAGGAGCTCTACATATGTTATTTAGACTTAACAACAATCCTCTGAGGTGTCATTATTATTTGTTAAATATTTTATTTTCTTAAGTAATTTTTACATCCGATGTGGGGGCTTGAAATCATGACCCCGAGGTCAAGAGTCGCACTGGCTCCCCCCTCTTCTGGAGTATTATTATCTCCAATTTACGGGTAGAGAAAATGAGCTCAGAGCCGTTAAGTGGTGGCCCAGGGTTTTTTAACCCAGGCCTGTGTGACTCCAAAGCCCAGACTTCTGTATGCCCAACCTAAGTCATAGGAGTTCATGTGACGAGTTGATGTATAAGAAATCCCTTTGGAAACTGTAATTATAGATGTGAATGATGATAATGATCATGGGAATATTGGTAGAAATTGGATAGTTATAAATGGACTCATGCAGCTGGTACCTAAGATTAGGGGCAAATAGAAAGCTGCATCAGTGAACTAGAGGAATGTGGGATGGGGTGCAGAGGCATACCTGTCCAAGGACAGAGTGACAGAGATTGAGGGAAGGAAAGAGAAAGAATGGGTGGTAAGGAAGAAGAATCTTCTATCAGGAGCCCTGACCCACAAGGAAAGAAAAGTACCAACAGCCACACACTAGGAGACAGCAACTTATTTTAGTATTTTTAAGAGATCAAAATACCGAACAGCCAGAATATCTGCTTTTAAAATTAAGAACAAGGAAAGTGAATCTATATTCAAAAGATACAATGAAGACTGAGAGTAATGATAATGGTAGTGTTTATAAGGACTGGGATAATGGGCAGCCTCGTATATTGCAGGAGGGAGAGTTAATTGGTACAATCATTTTGGAGGGCAGTCTGGCAATAGAAAGCTTTAAAGATGTGTGAATGCGGGATGCCTGGGTGGCTTACTCAGTTAAGCGTCTGCCTTTGGCTTGGGTCATGATCCTGCGGTCCTGGGATTGAGTCCCGCATCCGGCTCCTTGCTCAGTGGGGAGCCTGCTTCTCCCTCTGCCTGCCGCTCCCCCTGCCTGTGCTCTCTCTCTCTGACCAATAAATAAATAAAGTTGTTTAAAAAATATGTGAATGCTCTTTAGCAATTTATTTATTTGACACAGAGAGAGAGTGAGAGAGCACAAGCAGGGGGAGCGGCAGAGGGAGAGGGAGAAGCAGGCTCCCCACTGAGCAGGGAGCCCGATGCAGGATTCGATCCCAGGACCCTGGGATCATGACCCGGGCCGAAGGCAGACGCTTAACCGACTGAGCCACCCAGGCGCCCCTGGCTATTCATTTCTTCTCTAGGCATTTAGTCCAAAGAAATAATTGGACAAGTATGAAAGATATATGTGTGTGTGTGTGTGTGTGTGTGTACATACACACACAAGTATGCACTTCACAGGGTTGTTTATAATAGCCAAAAAAGTCTGATTGAAGATTGGCTAAATATATTATGGTACCCCCATGTGGTATACTACTAGACACCTGAAAAATGCATAGATTTCTATATATTAGCATAGGTGAAAAAGGTTAGAAAATATTATTTATGGATTTAAATAAAAATATAGCTATTTTTGCATGGCAAATATGAATACATATGAATTAAAATATTATTAGTGATCATCTTTGAGTGATAGGATTGCAGGTCTCTTTCTCCTTCATCTGTACTTTCTAATTTGTCTACAGTGGAGACAAACTTCACAATTCTCAGAAGATGTGACAAATAAATTCCCCTTGGCTTTCAATTACGACCAATTAAAGAGGGTGGAGAGAGGGAGAAAGAAAAGGGAAAGGAAAGAAGGAGAAAAAGAAAGGAAAAGACAGAAGGCGAGAAGGAGAGGAAACGAGGTGACTGGAAGGAACCATGGGAGGGAAGAAATGAAAGAGACAAGGAATAAGACAGAACAAGATCAGGAGGGGTGAGGCAGAGGGTTACGTAGTAGCCCCTGAGGTGAGGGTGGCAAACAGATGGTTGGTTCTGGCACATCCCCCTGTTTACAAGTGGGGAGGGCATCACCTCCCCCCACTTCCTGGTTCCTTAGCAGTTTAGGATCAAGCTTTTTGTGTGCTAGAAAATAGCTCGTTCTCATTTTTAAAGATCCAACATCTATTCTAAAGTTATTGTATTTGTGTCTGTTAGACAAACAGTACCTCTTAATCGTGTGAAAACCAGAAAATAAAACAAAAAGAATAAATCAGAGCTCTGCCATCACACATCATATTGCAGAGATAACTGCTGTTAATATCTCTTGCACCTGCTTCCCCGCTTTGTGTCTTTAATTAAACATAAGGCTACCTTAGATATTGGTGCCATTGCCTTTTTGAAAGTGAACTTTTTATTTTGAGAGCATTGTAGATTCACATGCAGTTGTAAGAAATAATACAGAGAGATCCCAGATAGATTTTTGTTAAATAATTCATCTATACTGCCTTATAATTGGCCTTTAGCACTCAGTAGTATAGTATAAGCACGTCTTACATCAAGAAATAAAACTTGATAGAAAAAAATATTAGAAAATCTGCAAATAAAATCATCTTCATAAAAGTAACAAAACGTATAAAAGAGCCAAGGAACAAAGTGAGGAAATAGACACAAGTTAAATGAAGAGTAATAAAAAATCCTACTAAGGAACATAAAGACTCAAATAAAAGGGAAAAAGACATCTTACTTCTGGATCAACATGCATTTTCTAAACTAAGTATTTCTTTGTGTAGGTTATTCTGAAGATTTTGTAGGAATGTGAAAAAATGATTTAGGCTTTTTTTTTTTTTTTTTTTTTTTTAGAATACAGAGTAATTGAGAGTCTTAAATTGGTTAATTTACCGGCTATTCCCCAGAATTCCTCTGATATTTAAAACTGGCTGGACTGCTTATCCACACTGTTTAATCAGAAAGACTAAGGTTATTTTATCTCACAGTATCTAAAGGTTATGTTTGAACTAGTATTCATCAATTTGTTCTGAGCCTTTTTTTAAGCCAAACCCAATTTTCAAACTTAATGAATCACAGAGTAAAAAAAAATTTTTTTAAAAAGCAGTGCAAAACAGCAAAGGAAACAGTCAAGAAAACCAAAAGACAACGGACAGAATGGGAAAAGATATTTGCAAATGACATGTCAGATAAAGGGCTAGTATCCAAAATCTATAAAGAACTTATCAAACTCAACACCCAAAGAACAAATAATCCAATCAAGAAATGGGCAGAAGACATGAATAGACATTTCTGCCAAGAAGACATCCAAATGGCCAAGAGACACATGAAAAAGTGCTCAGCATCACTCGGCATCAGGGAAATCCAAATCAAAACCTCAATGAGATACCACCTCACACCAGTCAGAATGGTTAAAATTAACAAGTCAGGAAACAACAGATGTCGGTGAGGATGCGGAGAAAGGGGAACCCTCTTACACTGTTGGTGGGAATGCAAGCTGGTGCAGCCACTCTGGAAAACAGTATGGAGGTTCCTCAAAAAGTTGAAAATAGAGCTACCCTACGACCCAGCAATTTCACTGCTGGGTATTTACCCCAAAGATACAAATGTAGTGATCTGAAGGGGCACATGCACCCTAATGTTTATAGCAGCAATGTCCACAATAGCCAAACTATGGAAAGAGCCTAGATGTCCATCAGCAGATGAATGGATATAGAAGATGTGGTGTATATATATACAATGGAATATTATGTAGCCATCAAAAAATTGAAATCTTGGCATTTGCAACGATGTGGATGGAACTAGAGGGTATTATGCTAAGAAATAAGTCAATCAGAGAAAGACAATCATCATGTGATCTCACGGATATGAGGAATTTGAGAAACAAGAAAGGATCATATGGGAAGAGAGGGAAAAATGAAACAAGACGAAACCAGAGGGGGAGACAGAGCATAAGAGATACTTAATCTCAGGAAACAAACTGAGGGTTGCTGGAGTGGTGGGGGGTGGGAGGGATGGGGTGCCTGGGTGATGGACACTGGGGAGGGTATGTGCTATGGTGAGCGCTGTGAATTGTGTAAGACTGATGAATCACAGACCTGGACCTCTGAAACAAATAATACATTATATGTTAATAATAATAAAAAAAAGCAGTGCAAAAATATTTCAGTGTAATGTTGATCTATGGTACGGTGGCCAGAGTAATGTCTCTTGTTGTTACTTGCTGGAGCTATTGTTTTCTTTGTTTCTTTACTTGGGATCCCCTCCCCCCCAAAAAGATGGGGGTTTCCCTACACAGAAGGAGAGGTGGAAAGATATATACCAGAGGTTGCAAAATGGCAGTCTGAGGGTCACATCCAGCCTAAGGAAAAATAAATTTTTTTTTTATCTATCCAAGCCTTAAAGAATCTTTTAGTTAGCTGCCAACATTTGAAGATCAGGAAATTTGCGTGAAAATATGGATTTCTGGAGCACTGGATCTTTCCATAGCTAGTCTAAGCCCATGTTCAGTTTAGCAACAAAGCAAGAGGACCACCAAAAATAATAAAGAAAATCAGAAATTTTAGAAAGAAACTATTTTAATTCCAGCACACATGTAAATGTGTACTTTTGAAAAATAAAATTTCATTTATGTTTTAGAAATATATCTATGTTGAATATTATTTGGGGAAAAGGTACCATAATCTTTTTAGAATTTGGGCTTCTGAAGGTCTTATTCCGAGCTTCATTTCTAGTTACATTCCAGCAATCGGAAAATTTGGCCACACTGGGCTAAAATTCCCGGTTGTTTGCCCCCACCAGACAAGGCATTCACAGTTCCCACCACTTTTTGGTTTTCTTATACCCTTCTGGTCCATTTGTCCATTCTACTCATTCAAGTTACTTGTCTGGCATGTGTGACATTTCAGTTTGGGGTCCCTGGCACATACAAAGGCCAAGAGAATTTTTACTTACTCTTTCGATCTTTTAGGTAATCAGGGTCAACCAGGACCACACCATCTGTGTAGAGAGGGAGAGACAGCACTGCGGTCAGGAAAAATCCTTAGACTGTGAAACAGAAGTCAATCCCTGAAATAGCTCCTCCCATTTTCCCCTTTAATTGGCCTCCTCTTCTCCATGTTCCTTTCTTGGCTTTCTTTTAGTTCCTGGCTCCCATTCCCTTTTCCCCAAGCGCTTTCCCTTTTTGGACTCACTGACCAATGGGATCCACCATGTCCACATGGTCCACGAAGTCCCGTTTCCCCAGGTAGATGGCAAGCTGTTGTGGAACAACCTGGCATGTTATTCTCATAATCATCTTCGAATGGGTTCTCCTGAAGCCCCCAGTGCAAACCCTTGAGACCTTGAAGGAGGTACCCACCTATCCCTTTTGCCCTCTCATTTGCCAGGCTAAGCCAGGTTCTCTCACCTTCCCATTGGAGCAGGTCTTCTTATACACCCTATAAAGAGAAAATCAGAAAGAAAATAGGGAGGGTCATTGGGAGAGAAGGGAAGAGGAAAAGAAGGGAGAGGAGAGGAAGGGAAGTGGGGGAGAAAAGGAAATATTCCTAGGATTAAGAGAAGAGGCCCAAGGAGCATGAAATGGTGCAAAGGTGGAGGTAATTGGTAGAGTTCAAATTACAAGTTGAGGAGAGGTTGGAAACTCCTCTACCCCAAAGGCAAGTACTTGGGTTTGGGTAGGGGACAAGTCACTGATTCAGAGAATTAGAAGGGGTTCTTACTTACCTTGAGCTGTTGGCCATGGAGTTGATGTTGAGCCTTTTCTGAGAAGAGAGAAAGAAGGAGGAAAGCTCAGTCATTTGGTCCCTCTTCTCCTTGTCCCACTCTGGGATAACATCCAGACACACCTAGTGTGCAACCTTTCCCCCTTAAATAGATAACTCACCACCATAAAGTGCCTTATATTCTCCCTCCTGCCAAGGGTACTTATTCAGTCATACTCTCACCCATCCCAGGCATGGGAAAAAAACAAAACAAAACTATTTTTACAAATTGTCGACTAACCATACTGTCTATTCTCCAGAAAGGGCATGGCTTCCTGAAATAGCTGGGGCACTCTTGAGTACCTTCACAGAGAGGGAACTTGTCTGGAAGGGGGCTGGAGAGAGGCCTCCATCCAGACAATTTGAGGAAAACTGGACTGGATGAGGCTGGACATCACCTGGCACACAGTAGGTGTCAAGACATGTTTGTTAGATACACAAATGAATGAATGAAGAAAAAATGGATTCTGTCTGCTTTTGCACCTATAATGGATTCTGAGCCTGAGTTCACCTCATGGTGGCCTTAACTCAGCTAAGAGAGGAGAAAAGTGTGGGAGAGAAGGGGTTGGTGCCCTCATGCTCTTGGTGGTTGGTGGCAGAAACCTCTATGGAGGTTGAAAGCCTTCCTTGAATCTCTTCATCGTTCTCTTCACCTTCCCCCGATTTTCCCATTCTTACCCCCATTCGTGTCCCCAGGTGCTGGGCCTTGGAGTAGGGACCCTTCGAGAGAGGGAGATGTCTGTCTAGTGCTTCTCTCTGATGTATATCAGGTCTGGCCTGAAGGGTGAGCTTCGGGGAGCTTCCAGAGGTCTCTCATAGGGTCTCTCAGCCCAAGTGCATGCTGGCTGTGTCAAGAAAGGTGCCCTCAAGTGCTCCTTGATATATTCATGGGGTTGCTAAAGGCAAGGGGTATGGACCTAGTATGGGATAGAAATAGAGGACTTTGGACTATTACCTGGGGAGAGAGATGAAGCTCACATCCGTCTCCAGCTCTGGTGGCTATGCTCACCTCCCCAGCCTCTTATACTTAAGGTACTTTGAATGTTTAGACTGGTGGGGGTCAGGGAAGAAGAGTGGAGTTGGGGGGGGCATAAAACACTGCTTCATAAATAGCTCAGGTGCCAAGAGTTTGGAAAGCAGATTAAAGGCTAAAAGATTAGTGGCTAAGGATTAGCAGGTTCTTGCTGCTGGGATAGGGTGGGGGTAGAGGGTTGAATCTGATGGTGTTAAAGTCAGGGGAGCTTGATGAGGGAAACTACAGGGTTTTGGCCTTATGAGGCCTTGAACCTCAGGACTGGGATCAAAGGAGAGTCAGAGACATTAAAGGAAAAGCATGGTGAGGGATAGAAATAGGAGGGCTCGAAGTATGGGCCTTTGTGATTCTGAAAGGAGAGCCTTGTGTCATACTTTAGTGTTTCTGTAGCTCTTGATCAGCTATTACAGGCCACACAAAAGCTAAGAGTATGGGAAAGAGTACCGTTCCCCAGTCCCCCACCACGTGGGACTTGGGACTCTTGAAGCCTACTGTTTAGAAACGCTGATTATCCCAGCTTATGTGCACAGCAGGAGTCAATCTCCTGTAAGTGGGGGTGGTGATTGGGGAGGGGAGGCTGAGTGTGTTGAGCTGTGTGTGCACATGTCTGTGAGCCTTGAATATTTCTTGATGGAGAGGAAGGTAACAAAGGATTCTTGGCCCGGCGACAGGTTCTCCTGGGAGGATGTTGCATGTGGAGGGAATAGACAATTGACATCTGTATCACTCCCACCTAGAGTAAACCTTCCCACCTAGTTTTTGACTCTCCCCAATCCCTGAAACTAAGTCCATGTTAGAGGCTCTAAGCAGCTTCCCTTGCCTCATATGACCACTGATGGAATTAGAGATATTTCTGTCCTACAGCTGCCAGGACCCCCACAATGGCAGCAACAAAAATAATCTTCCTTTCTTGGCTGTCCTTCTCACAGGGCCCAGGTCCAGACTTTGTGGACATAAAGAATGTAGAGACAGAACCTCCAAACTCTGTGGATACAGGACCCTACCCTGCCTCCAACCCCTCATAGAGCTGGCTGGTCTTTAGTATCTATCCATAGATGCCTGCCCTCAACCTGCCACAACAGGGTGTCCATTCCTCAGAGCATGGCCATGACTATGGCTCAGAGGGCTGGGCGTTCCCTACCTCCTGCTCCCTACTGTGACTGTGGGGCAGCTGTCCTGTATTCCTTCTGTACAGCTAACTCTGTTAGCCTTTGCCATTCCTTGCCAATATACACCCCAGGAGCTTGTCTTTTAGTTGCTATTACTCTGCTCTTCTCAGGGATTTTCAGATAGAGCTAGAAGCCCAGACTCTGCAGGGACCATAGTGGGACTGAATCTAATGCTGGACATACAGGAAAGAGTTATGTACTTGCCAAGGCTGGTGTCTGTGGGGAAGGCAAGACTTCAGAATCAATGTACTTTTGGACTAGGCTTCAGCCCATTTTTGTCTTCAGACCCACACTTAAAGTGTATCCCCTCTCTCAGTTCAGATCCATGGTCCTCTCAGCAGGAAGAAAATAGATCGGGTAGGTCTTCAGTTCATTACTACGAGTGAACTTAAATCATTATCTCTCTTCTAGGAGTATGTGCCTTTCTTGGCTGAGGGATAATTTACAAACAGCAAAAGGCACAAACCTTTAATTGCACAGTTTGATGAATTTTTATCTACTGTGGTAGGCTGAATAATGGGCCCCAAACATATAGGGTCCTAATCCCTAGAACCTATGAATGTTACCTTATATGGCAAAAGGAACTTTGCAGAAATGATTAAATTAAGGCTCTTGAGATGGGGAGATTATTCTGAATCATCTGGGTGGGCCCTAAATAACCACTAGTCTCTTTATAAACAAGAGGAAAAAAGGGAGATAGGAGATTTGACTGTAGAAACAAAGCAATATGAGAACTGAAGCAAGATGCTATGTCACTGGCTCTGAAGATGGAGGAAGGGGCCACAATCAAGGAATGCAGCTCTGGATGCTAGGAAGAATGAGTGCATGGATTCCTCCTCCGCCCCCACCCCCACCCACCCATAGTCACTTATGGTCACAAGGTGGCTGTTGCAGTTCAGGTGCAGCCTGGTTGACACCTGAATTTTGGTAAAACTGATTTTGGACTTCTGACCTCCAGAACTATAAGAGAATAAGTCTGCTGTTTTAAGTCACCAAGTCTGTGGTAATTGTTTTACAGCAGCAAGAGGAAACTAATATACCTGTGTGTACTCACATGTAACCACTACCTAGATCAAGATATAAAACATTTCCATCTTTCCCCCAAATTCCCTTATGTCCCTTTCCAGCTTGTAGTCCCCAAAGAGAATTATCACCATAGTTTCATTTTGAGAAAGGGTATTTGCATTTTCTAGTGATTTATTCCTGGACTGCAAGAGTGGTTCAATATTTGCAAATGAATCAATGTGATAAACCACATTAATAAAAGAAAGGGTAAGAACCAGATGATTCTTTCAATGGATGCAGAAAAAGCAGCTGACAAAGCACAACATCCATTCATGATAAAAACCCTCAATACAGCAGGGCTAGAGGGAACATACTTCAACATAATAAAGGCCATCTATGAAAAATCCCCAGCTAATATCATCTTCAATGGGGAAAAACAGAGCTTTTCCCCTATGGTCAGGAACAAGAGAGAGATGTCCACTCTCACCACTGTTATTTAATATAGTACAGGAAGTCCTAGCCACAGTAATCAGACAACATACAAAAAAAAAATAAATAAAAGGCTTACAAATAGGCAAGGAAGATGTCAAACTTTCACTATTTGCAGATGACAAGATACTCTATATAGAAAACCCGAAAGACTCCACCAAAAAATTGCTAGAACTGATACACAAATTCAGTAAAGTTACAGGATACAAAATCAATGTACAGAAATCTGTTGCATTTCTATATACCAATGATGAAGCAATGAAAGAGAAGGCAAGGAATCAATTCCATATATACAGTTGCAGTCAAAACAATGGGGTATCTAGGAATGAGCCTAACTAAAGAGGTAAAAGACCTGTACTCTAAAAAACTATAAAACCCTGATGAAAGAAATTGAAGATGACACAAAGAAATGGCAAAACGTTCCATGCTCATGGATTAGAAGAACAAATACTGTGAAAAATCTATATTGCCCTAAGCAATCTGCACATTTAATGCAATCCCTATCAAAATACCAACAGGATTTTTCACAGAGCTGGAACAAACAATCCTAAAATTTGCATGAAAGACCTGAAGAGCCAAAGCAATCTTGAAAAGGAAAAGCAAAGCTGGAGGCATCACAGATCTGGACTTCAAGATACGTTACAAAGCTACAGTGATCAGGACAGTATGGTACTGGCACAAAAATGAACATATAAGTCAATGGAACAGAATAGAAAACCCAGAAATGAACCCACAACTATATGGTTGACTAATCTTTGACAAAGCAGGAAAGAATATCCAATGGGCAAAAGACAGTCTCTTCAACAAATAGTGTTGGGGAAACTGGACAGCAACACGCAAAAGAATGTAACTGGATCACTTTCTTACACCATACACAAAAATAAGTTCAAAATGGACGAATGACCTAAATATGAGACCTGAAACCATAAAAATCCTAGAGAAGAACACAGCAGCAACCTCTTTGACATCGGCCATAGCAACATCTTACTAGGTATGTCTCCTGAGGCAAGGGAGACAAAAGGAAAAATAAACTATTAGGACTTCATAAAAGTAAAAAGCTTCTGCACAGTGAAGGAAACAATCAACAAAAATAAAAGGCAACCTGTGGAATGGGAGAAGATATTTGCAAATGACATATCTGATAAGGGGTAGTATCCAAAATCTATAACAAACTTATCAAACTCAACACCCCAAAACCAAATAACCTGATTTTAAAAATGGGCAGAAGACATGAATAGATATTTTTCTAAAGAAGACATCCAGACAGCCAACAGACATATGAA